CGATAAAGTGCTTTACCTTGGGTGAAGGTAAAAAGAGCTTTTGTGCCCTCAGTATTGGGCATGGTTGGTTTGAAACATGGGTTTGCAAAGTATTATGCAAATATAGCCTTTCAGAGAGTTCTGGGCTATTCATTTCAGCAGATGAAACTGATTTGTTTCCATTATAGAAACCAGACAAAGATACCATGCAGGAAACCAGACAGCTTACACCATAGTTTTCATTTCAGGTGTCTTAAGCCCAAGGAGTAATTCGTTCTCAGGAGCTGATTTTAATCACAGTTGAGGACAGCTATCCTGCTGCTTACATATAACCTTCTCTAAGCAATGTTGTTGCTATACATAGCCTTGCAACTAAGCATGAAAAGTCCTGTATGTCAAAGGAATATTTGACTGATTGCTAAAATTTGAATTATTTGAATGTGATATGTAGCAGCATGTTCTGTTACTTTATGGAATTCAAATTGTATTTGTTGAAAAACTAAGACTAAATAGAATTTGTTATATTTTTTTTTATCTAACATATGAAATAAAGTAGCAAAAAATGAGCAGCATAGCACATTATTTTATATATGCTGAGAGGGGTACCTGGGATTTACCTCACAGAGGCTGAAATATGCACCACTATCATAATCAAACAAGAATAGATAGAGCCTAGCAGGGACTGACTTAGTCTAAGGAGCTTAAACAATCTACTTTATCCACAGATTAATGAACAGGCACAAGTTTTCATTCACACATCACCTTTTTTATTTTGAGTTTTTGCTCTCCTTTCCTCCACCAAGGGAACATTAGGGTTTATTGCTAAATTGATGAACAACTGCATATAAACTTTAAACAATTCTGGTACTTTTTTCCTCCAAATAGGTATAGACATACTAAAAACAACCAAACAATTTTTAAAAAATATTTCTGTGTTTTATATTATCAGTGAATTCCAATGCTTATAATTTTCAGAAGTTGTATTTAGTTTTTACTCTGTGTTGAATTACATTAAGATTAAAATGGAAATAAAATAAAAAACATCAGTAAGTTACTATTTGAATAAAAATTAATTAAATATAAATGTGCAAAAAAAAGAGTTATTAGAAAGTGTTTATCACTGAAAGAACAGTGCTTTATTAAAACGAAAAGCTGTGCCTATTCTGTGTAATTCAAGATTTAAAATCTAGCAGAATTCAGCTTGTCGTATCTGCCTCATAACTACCTTCTTAGTGTAAAAAGCATACTCTTGGTTTTTTAGTTTCCAATTGTTTTTTTATCTTTATTTATTGATTTGAAATAAACTATCTAATCTAGGAAAAAAATCATTCTGAATCTTCAAAAGTGGCTATAAGTCCCTTTCAATAAATTCTGGTATTTTGTAAAAAATATATTCATTTTGCTAATCTTTCATTAAAATATAGGCAGTCTAGGTGAGCAGGGCTTAAATGTCACTGTAAGTTAGCTTAGTAGCTTATACTGATATGGGACTTCAGATAAGTTATTATGATGTCAACTAATAATATAATCATAGTAAGAACAACTATAATAAAACAACACAGAAAAGATAAAAAAATGTAATTTAAAATAATAGGCATTTAGGTTTTTTTGGGGGGGGATTTGATAAAGATCATATGTCTGGAGTATGTCTTCATTTTATTATTGCTGCTTTCCATTTATATTATCCATTACTGTTATAGAAATGATTTTAAATCCCAACTGTTGTGTTGTAAAAGTGACTAACAGTGTCGCAACCACCAGGCTGCCTTTATGTGCCATGGCACGTTGCTGATCTAAAGAAAGACATGTTAGTAAGCTTTCCCTCACAGGCTATACAAGAAAACACGAAATATTACTGATGCTGTTTGTATATAGATAACCTCCAAAATACAGTCAGTTATGCAAAGCCTGCTTGTTGCTAACACTTATAAAAAGCTCAATCCTCTATTTTGGAGTAAGGATGTATTTTAACCTGTGAATCTCTTTACCAATATCTCTGTGCTAAAATATTAAAACTTTTTGAGGTGTTTAAGGTTTTTATAGCCCATGAACTTTGACATGCTTTGACCAGTGTATGATTTAGAAAATGCCCTTAAGCATGGCCATCTTCTCTAAGACCAGTAGCAGGTTACAAGCAAATTTTACTCAGACAGCTGTGATCGTAACAAAAAATACAGAAAGTGTTTTTATTATAGCTAAAACATACAGTTGTTAAAGTTTCAACTGAGAGAGCTGAAATATTATGAACTATCTGTGATTTCAATTAAGAAATACACAAGCTTTGCATTCCTTTACCTCCATTTTCAAGTCACAGTCTTTTCATATAAACCCCCCCTTTTTTTTAGGTGTTTTTTTTCTTGGCCCTCCAAATATTTTAAAATCCATTTTGTATGTATGTTCTTTACTGTGTAACTTGTACTAAAAAAATTTGAAGACATTTTCACAGTTCTTTGATGTAGATATCTGCAAAAGGTCTATGAAAGTGGCAAAGTAGTCTTTTATTTTGTTGATCGTATCTGTTTATCTAGTATATATTAAACAGACTGCTGTACATCAGCCCAGGATGATTTCTTCTGGAGTTATTGTCTCCAGATTGTCTTTTGAACTATGTAATTTATCAAGGCTTGACTCTGTTCTGTTGAAAGCTTTTTTTTTTCCCAACCTCAGCAAGAGAACTGCTAAAATTATGACTTTCACTGGCTTTTTTTTTTTCTTTCAGTAAACAGCACTCCTACATCTCATGATTCCAAATGAATAAAATTATGAGAACATTTGTTATTTCCTCACGTCTGTCTTTTTTGTCTGTGTTTTCTCTATTTTTCATGTTTTGTCTGTATTTTATATTTTCTTATTTTACCTCCCATTTTTTTAGGAACAATATTGTTATCTAGAATAAGGGCAGTTGTAAATAACTGGAAGGGACCTGATTTCCTCATTATCACAGTTTATCAGTGCTCTATGAAGACTGCAGAAGAAACCTGAAATTGAAAAATGTTCTGTAGGCTTAAATTTTATCCCTAGTTTATTCCCATACCTGACTTTCATGAGAATAAATGTGTAAATAATGGAAGACATTGAAATTATTCACAGAGGATTATAAATAACTACTCTGAAAAAAATATTGTTTTGGTGGTTAGGTGAGCAAGTCACGTACTAATGACTATTCCAAACCCCATTTTCTATTGCTATTGCCTGTTCTGCCTTAATTTTCTGCTCAAGCCTTTGTCTGTTGGACAAATTGTTGGAAATTCCTTATATTCAGCCAGGACAGGTAACACCACCTCCACTTCTGCTCAGCAGTACAGATCCAATCAGTATGAAGTTTCTGTACAGATTTTGTACACATACATGTGTATCACCCAGTTACTACTTCAGCAGAGCTGGGTTGGGGAACAGGGTCCTATCCTACACTCTTCTCTTTCCCATTTCCAAATGACGGTAATAAGGGATGTGATCATCCTTGAGCTGTTGGCAGACTCTGCCACCACTGCTGGCCCAGATGGTGCCCCATCAGAGAGGGCAAGGCCTGCACTTGAGTCACTGTCAGCTCTCAGCTTAGCCTCCACTGCAAAGTAGTCTGCTTACCTTAACTCCTGGCACACTTAAGCAAAACCTAAAACTAACAACTCTTTAGAGCCATGAAAGGCAAAGACTGCAGCCTTTAGTTGCTGGGCGTCTGAGGCAGAAAGGAAACCCATGTTTTCCAGTGTCATGAGATGCAAAGGTCCACAGGACAATGCCTGTGCTTTTCCTTGGATTAGTTTCGAAGCTCGCTCCTTTTGCCTTTGAAATCACACTTATATTTCAATGAGTTGTATTTTCACAACATTTAGAACTCACAGCCTGTGAATATCTCCATAAAGTCAGCTACTGTCCCCATTATCTAAATAAAAGAATGTATAATTTTCTAAAATACGTCTAGAGGACAAAATGCCAGACGGTCTCTCCTTTCCCTGTCCTCTGGATTAAAAAGCTTGTCAAGAAAGAGAAAGAGATTCCAAAATGATTTCTTTTGCTGCAGAATCTCCCCCCTCTATTCCGACATGCTTAGATGCAGAGGGGAACCAAGTTCTTAAACATTCCCTTAAGCGAGATTAAGGCACAAATGAGGCCAGATGTTGGATCCCAAATCGATAAATACACCTTTATTTTGTAAAAAAAAAAAAGCCCTGCTGTGGTAGACCCTGAAGGCCCACTGGCCAGTTCACCAGCATCCAAGTAAAGTTTGCCTGGTACCAAGATGGACCCGGACTGTCCGCTGTCTGGTTCCACAGTATCAAAGCAAGATCTGCCTGGCATATCTTATTTGGAAGAGTAAATCCTTGCTGTGTTCTTGATTGCAACAACTTCTCATCTTTTTTGCTGGTCTCCCTCGTCTGATGGCTTGCTGGGTGCTTTCTGGAGCTTTTGCAAGCAGCTCAGCTCTGCAGCAGCCTAGCTGTTGCATCAAGACTTTTTAACTCCATGCTGGAGGCAATGCAGAGGTAGACTCCATTTTTTAATCTGTCCATTACAGTCTTTGCTTGTACAGGAATATAAAATATTTTGGAGGCATTTTCCATTTCACCTGTTGATGTTACTGTAATTTGCTTTAGTTTCATTTACTCACATAATTTAATGCAGAGGTGTGGAGCTAAAAATTCTCTCTTGATCATAAGGGCTAGAGAATTGGAGCAGCACCCAATGGGGCACCAAATTCACATCTGCACTGGGAAATACTAAAAAAGAATAGTGGAAAGTGCCTGTCTAGGTCAGGAGAGGGTGCTAGGTGAACTCCAGGGAAGTATAAGGTATTTAATTCCCATGAGCTGAAGAGATAACCTTTTTCTCCTCACTTTCAGAGAAGGTGCTAAAGGACAACTTATACCTCTGTGTTTTGAGAAACAGCAGCAGGTTCTCCTGTGTTGAATTTAATATTGAACTGGTATTTTAGTCTTAGTCTAAAAATGCTTGCAATGGCTTTTCTGCACATGAGCATTTTGGTTAAAAGCAAAAACAAAACTCTCACTGTTTTATTTTAGATCTCAGTAAAGCTTGGATTCAAGAAGACACCATGGGCTATTCAACCCCAACGTGCGTAGCTGCAAGTAAAGAAGAGAAAATTTAAGTGGCCAGGAACAATAAGGTTAAAAAGTAAAAATGTTCCAGTTCTTCCTGGATTGCCTCAATATTTGTTTTTCAATTAAAAAGCCTTATTTTTATTTTGAAGAAGGAATCAAATATTCCTTTTCACCTGTGGATTTGGGAATAAATGAAGTTAATCTAGAACTTGATTTGCAGCAAAAATATCCAATTGAAATTTTGTGGATCACTGATAAATACCAGCTTCGGCCTTCCCTAGAAGCTTGGGGAAATGAAACAGGGCTGTCTGGAACTCAGTAAGGTAGCTGCCTTTTTTTCACTTTCAGACATGAATCGATTGATTTGATGAAAAGTAATTTATCAAGGGGGAAAGGCAACAGGATAATTTACAGTGCAATGAGATGATTTGCCATCCCTAAAATTGCTTTCCCGAAATCTGAAATTACGTACAGTCCTTTTCTTGGCAAGGCTATTAGTGTGGTTGCTCTTTGCTTCCCACTGCTTCAGCCTCAATCTTCTCTCGGTTTGCGATTTTCAGGTCCCTGCCTGCTCACCCAGGCCAGATTCTGGCAGCAGCTGGCTGTGTACTTCAAGTCCCTTGGCTACTGATCCCACAGGCAGTCTAACTCTGCTTCATCCTACACTCGATGTGCTTTTGCTGCCTCACCTTTCTGTCCCAGCTCTTGACTGCCCTGGATAAACTTTGCTGCTGTCTCTTTGGCGTGTATTTCTGCTACCTGAGCAAAAACCTATGGGTAGTTCCTTGTAACAAGGCATTTCTGAAGCAGTCTTTCCCAGTCCCTTTCCATCTATTTACTTTGAGCAGTTGCCTGAGCCACATTTCTTCACTTTCGATCACCACAGATTTATAAAAAAATCTCCACAATTGTGGAATATGCTCATATTAGAACTTATTTGTTAAAAAAAATGCCACTGGCAGTACAACATTTTGAAATGTTTTAGACCTGCCCATATAATTTTAGAAATCTTTTCATACATCAGATATCAGGTGAGCACGATTTTTTTCCTCTGGCTTATTTTTTAAAGTTTGAGCACTGAACTTACATTGGAGGGGGAAGTGATGCTATTTTAAATTGTTGCTCTGTTTTGGTGTTTAAGCTGTTCACTGAATATGTCTTTCAACTGCCTTCTTTTTTTTAGAAAATATCCAAGATTTCCAGTTTTTCATTATGGTTAAATTATCTTAAAATTGTTGTCTTTACAACTTGCTTTTGGTACTTTCTTTTTGTTATATTAATCCAGACTCAGTGTTCTTGAATCCATTAATTAAACATGTCTGTAAGGGTTTGCTTATTTTGAACCTAAGAATTACAAAATATTTGAGACTGTTTTTGAACCAGGTCTCCCACACTAAGTGGAAAAAATACCTCAAAGATTGGTGCAGAAACCCCTGATATGTCCCTTAGGCAAACAGTTCAGCTCTTTGAATTGTACCTGATAAAAGAAAATACACTGTTGAGTTGCCAAGTGCATTTTAAAATTTTACTACTTTATTGTGTTATATGCAAAAAGTAATATTCCCTTCCCAGTCTAGATGAACATATAACTGTTTTCAGAGGTTTTCTGTGGACAGAGTTAATTTAGTAAGATTTCTCTCTCATCTCTTCTCTTATTACTCTGCCTGTGTTTCTTCTCCCCCCACCACTACTGTCTCAAGAGATGCCTTAAATTACATTTAGTCTGGGTAAGATAAATAAATGGGGAAAGGAAAGAGCAACATAGTTTGCCTTAATGGAGATGAGCTGCGAATTTCCTTGGAAATTGTAATCTGAGGGTTGAGTAAAGGATAAATTGAAGTTGTTACAATTTCAGTGAATAGTCAGCATATTCCATAATTGAGATCAAAACATTGTAGAGCAGTACACATCTTTTTCAACAGGAATGCTTGCATTCCTATTTTTTGATAAAAAATTAGCTTCACTGTATTGTAACAAAAAATTAAATACAGATTTCTTTTCAGGTGCTGAAATATAACCAGAATCTCAGATCTGGTACTTCCTTCATAATATTTATTTACACCACTAAGGACAGGAAGAGGAGATGTAAACGAGTTTACTTATTTTCTTTCTCTGCATCTCTAATTTTCCTACAAGGGCCTCTTCTTTAGAGCAGTAACATCAACTGTTCAGGTTTGAGTATCTTTCCTCCACACTGAGTACTCTTTTTGTCTGTGGCAGTCCCACAATATCAGATTCTGAAAATCCAGGCTGTTTCGGAGAGAAAACCTAACACTTTGCCCATGTGTATTTGTAAACCACAAACAAATAGTATTTCCTATTCATTATTTAATATGTAGAATCTAACATGAAAGACCCAGAAGACCTCAGTGAGAGTGAGGCCTCCATGCGATGCTGATAGGTACATGGTAAGTCTGTTCTCAGAGGAGCTTCCAGAAGGGTAAATCAAGAGAGCAAACAAAAGAAAAGAAATATTTGATGTGACTTGCCCTAGTTTTCAGGGAAGGTGACTTAAAGAATTGGGAATAAAACACAACTATTCTGACTCACAGGTTGCTACTCTTTTAACTAGAATTTAGTTTTTGTAGGCACTTCAAAATGTCATTTTCATTGTCAGTGAAAGAGTTGAGACAAAACATTCCTAAGTAAGAAAAGGCAGATTATCATAGAAATACTGAAAGAAGATCAACTAGATTTATGAAGGATTTGCCATGCAATATAGCTAAATTCCTTAGAGTGAATTGCGTGATTTGGAATAAGGTTTAAGTACGAGACATTTGTAAAAGTTTGATCTTCTCTGATTCCTACATGAAGATAATTGCAATCTGTCAGTGGAAATGTATCTTGAAATATCTGGCAAATAAAAGCGACTTTCAGGTTTTAATGATGTTAATGAATGCGTTTTGTATGTTAAGAATGTTTCTTCAGGCTACTGAAATGAATATCTGATCTGCTCAAGAGCCTAGAAGTTCTGGTTCAAAAGAAGTTAAAAAATATTTAGTATATTGGAGAAGAGATTACTGAAAAGAGGAATGATTGGAAAAAACAGAAGTTTTATTTTTGTTTGCTTCTAAAGCCTAAAAGATGCACTTTTGCCTAGAGAATGAGAATCTTTCCTGGTTGGTTGCCATGCAAAGTCTTACTAATTTTTAATTATTTATTTTGCTGTTATAAAAATCATATAAATTTAAGCAAATTGAGTTCAAATTATGATGTAATGAACTGAAATCTCCAGGTAACTTAAGTGCTGCTTCTGTTCTCCTGCCCTCACATTTCTTTCCTCACATATTGTCAGCTCTGGGAACTGATCTTGAAGTGAATGGGATCTATCTTCAGGTATTTTTCAGGAAACCTCGCTTTTTGAATATAAGAGATATAAGTATTAAAATATTATTCTGGGAGAGGAAAGCCAGAGAGAATTGTGGAACAGTTCAATTATCTCGGTAATGAACATCTTGATATTTAACACAAAAGTTCTCATAGGTGTTCATGTTAATTGGTATATTGATAGATATACTGTCATATGTGTTTTACAGAAAATATGCTAACATTCATGGTTTGATACAGTGGAGATTAGAAAGAATGCCTCCCCTCATTCTGAATAGGTTTCTGTTAAGTCTAAGACCAGACCTTCAAAAATTATCAGTGCCTTAACAGTTCTGTAGTTATATTGCTGAGTTTTCTGATGTTGATTATGGGATTAGTCCCACAGACATCATACATAAGGAACACTCATTGAAACTGCTGAGTCATTTCGGAGGGGATAATAATTTAAGCCAATTACCTTGAATTAACTGAAACAGATGTGTTCCGGGGTTTGGCAAAATTAACCTGTAAAAAAATTAAAATAAGTAAATTACTAGCCAGCTAACTTGATCTATAAATTTCTCTCTAGAGTGATCTAAAGGAAGCTCTGGGTACAGAATTGGGCTGGATGTTTAGCAGCTAATTTGCATCTTAGCTTCTATTTGCCTTGCTACAGTGGAAGAATAATTGGAATTGCATGCACTGCATTAAATGTGTTGACTGAAGCTGTAAATTGGAGGAGATTGTATTTAGTATATAAATCCAGAGAGCACTGCCAGGTTTGGTCATAAATATATAACTTTCTGAATTCTATGACAGATAATAAGAAACATGTCAATGAGTGATGAAATGTAGATTTCCAATTATTTTAACAACAATAAACTGCCTTTTTGGCATGTATTTATTACAAATGTTTCAGCATTTCCACTTGAAAAAATAGAATGGAGGACACATAACCAGAGGGGATTCCTGGGTGAATAGCAAACTAATGTGTTCAAAATTCCAGTGGGAAAAGGAAGACTTATGTTTGTCTTTTGAAGTAGGAATTAATTCACTCTGTTATTTTCTTTCTACTGCTGAAAGGAAGAAATCTATTTTTCAATATTCTGATAGAAGGAATTTATTAACCTGGTTTGTCTGTGACATCACAATAAAAACTTTTGGAACTATGAAGAATTGTGATATTTTTTAAAACTGTATAAAATGACTGAAAATATGTAAGGCCTTTTTTTCCAGTCAGGATGCAAGAAAGACAACAATCTCATTATCAAAGCCCAATACAGTCAGCTTTGTCAAGGGACCACCTACTTTCACTTTCATGAGCTCTCTGGGAAATTGTAGAGTTTTGATGCTGCAGTAAATACAGCCACCTCTTAGGAGGGAAAAGAGATTTATATTAATGAAGATGGGCTATGTGAACACAAGCCTATGTTTAGCTGTATTGCAATGTCTCATAAAAAAAAAGAAACTGACTTATTACTGAGAATTAAGGTTGGTGCAATAAACGTGTAAAAGTTGCCTGCTGAGAGACGTGCTTCCTGCTTGAGATGCTCTCCTCAAAGTCAGGCCATCCTCTTCATACTTCACTTCTAAAATTCTGGGCTAATTGTCCCAAAAAAGCGCGCCTGATTCATAGGTTCAATGAGGGCTGGGAGCATGAGGTATTGTTGAGTTTGCTCCTATAAAGGGAAAAAACACAAGAGTTCTGTGCACTGTTTTCATTCAGGTACTTCCAGGAGGTGGGGATAACCCAGGTTGGTATGGGTTGCACGAGGATTATGAAATGTTTCCCAAGATATTTCTTTGGTGTTTAACACACTATAGGTAGCAAACGAAAAGAGAGCTTTTGTATTTTGCAAGACCAGGGCATCATTATTACATTGTTACCACAGTAG